TAATTAAATAAAATCTCGACGGCAATCGGAGCCTGTGCGGATGACATGCACAAAATTAATAAATTAAAATGAGATCTCAAGTCAAACTCATTTATTAAAAATCTAAACGTTTCGACCCACTTCGGGTCTCTTCAGTAGCTGCAAAATACAAAGAAACAAAAATAAAAGATAATCGGTACAATCAGAAAATTATAAAACTCGTATACATACAATCCGCAAATAAATTAAATATCATTCTCCTCCCTATTCGAACCGTCCGGTCGTCGGAGTGTCTCCCTAACGGTGACCATCGTCAGGAAGGAAGCAGAGCAGTGACTCCCTTACCAACACTAATCAACATAGTATAAATTAAACGTGTAAGATCCCCAAGAATTATAAATTAAAAACCGGGAAGAACACTCACCCCGACAGCAAAAACAGAGAGAAGACGATGTTACACGTGACACATCACTCTAACGACTGTGCGGTATTCTACCTCGACACAGTCGATACATATATACGCAAAAAAAAACACAAAAATAGAATATGAAAATAAAAATAAAAACAACTAATACTTATCGGCACTCATGTCAAAGGTCTAACGAAAAAATCCGGTTATGTCTAATCACAAAGCTAGATTTTGGTAAATTTTTCAATTAACAGATCAAAATTCTCGTTTAATTTGTCGGTTATCGCTATGTAAATTTAAACTATTCTTCTGACGCTTAATGTGGATCATTTCGGATATCAAACGTTTACCTAAAAAAGGCTCCTCATCCAAGATTTTTACATCCTCCCAATTAAATTCATGGTTCAATAATCTATGTTCCGATATGACTGATAATTGTGACGCGTTTCTTTTTATGTTGCTGCGATGTTCTTTCATCCTAGTTTTCAACAATCTACCCGTCTGCCCTACATACGACGCATCACAATCCATACAATCAATTTATAAACTACATTGTTATGGAGTTCCCTGGTAACTTATCCTTGTGTACTTTGATGAATTTACGGAGACTGTTAATTGCTGTATAGGATGGAATGACATCCAAATCACGTGTAATGTCCTCGATTCTCTTTGATACATTATTGATATACGGAATATTAAAGTACGAAACTTTTTTCTGCGTTGGAATCTTGTCATTGCATATATTTGTTCTATTGTTATGCAACTTATTATTGTACCGGAAGAACAACTTTTTAACCGCGCTTGTAATGTTTGAAATATCAATTTGAGAGGATAATTATTAGACAAAAGAACTCCAATCATAGACTCAAAATTATCTTTATGGAATTTCGGATGAGATAGCCAAAAAACTCTATCTATGAGGCTGATAATGGTGCCTTTTTTATGGCAGAGAGGATGCTGCGACTCAAAATTTAAATATCTACCTGAATACGTCGGCTTATGAAATAAATCAAACTCAATGCTTCCATTATTTATAATAATAGTGACGTCTAAAAAATTCAATCGGTTGTCAACCCCTTCCTCCATGGTGAACTGCAATCTAGGATGGAAAGAATTGAAAGTGTTTAAAACAATTTTAAGCATGGAGGGAGGGGCCGCCAACGCGATATCGTCAACATATCTAAAATAAAATGGAAATGACATTGGAATCGCAGCAATCGCTCTATTCTCCAAATCTTGCAACGTGATATCCGCAATGATCGGTGAGAGGGGGGAACCCATAGGCGTGCCAAAGGTCTGTTGATAACATACATTATTAAACATAAAATAAGTCGAATTCATAATAAAACGAATTGCACATAAAAATTCATCCCGTGGAATAATACACTCTTTTTCAATATACCCCCATCTGTTAATTAAACTATCGATAGCCATATCCAATGGTACGTTGGTGAACAATGATGTAACATCTAGTGAAACTAACTCCACATCACTGTCCACACATAAACCATTTAATTTGTTCACTAATTGGAAACTATCAGAAATAGCCGAATCAGGTTTCGGAATTGCCTTATATATTATCTTATGTAAAAATTTTGCCAAGTAATAAAGAGGTGTATTTCTAGATGACACGATGACACGTAAAGGGCAATTCGGTTTATGCACCTTCGGCAGACCATACGCTCTCGGTAAAACCCCGTCCGTGCAGTTCAGGGATTTATATGTTGTTGAAGAAATGTAATTCTTCATTTTCCATCTATTTAAAATCCCGTGTAATTGATTAATTAGGTTCCTAGTCGGATCTTTTTAACAACAGTATAAGTATCCCGGTCAGCCAGCAAATCACACATTTTGTCCATGTACATATCCTTGTTCATCGCAACCGTGATATTACCCTTATCCGCCTTCATAAATAAAATATCAGGATTATCTTGGATGAATTTACCCGTCAATTTGTAAGCATTAAATAAACTATTTTTTGTGTGAGCTTTATCAGACATGGAAATATGGAATTTATTTATTATGGGGAAGGCTCTATTTCTGACTGCAGATCGTTTTTCCACAGGGAGTTTAAAAATATTTTGTTCTATATTTTTCAACAACTCTATGGTGGTTTTATCTTTGTCAAATACTGGCAGACAGAAGTTCTCTCCTAACCGCAACAAATCTCGAATTTCACACGGTATCGATACGGATGATAAATTTAAAAACCATTTATCTCTTTTGTCAGCAACATCAGGATTTAAAGAAACAAAGGAAGTCGGGTTCAAGGAAACACTAAGAGACTGAGACGGCCCTGACTCACATGGCCTTGAAGAAAATTCTTTCGTACATGTGTAATAATATTGGATAGGACGAATATTCCTATTATTGAATTTAATTTGTTTATCTAAGAGCCATCTAAATTTATCATCCAGTCGAACCCGCTCCTTATTATAAAAATAATGTAATGATCTGCTTTGCTCACCGAAAAACCCATCACAATAACACACTGGGAGATCTAACATGATGTAACGAACGAGTTCATAAATATCCAATCTAACTTTGTGCATCTGTCTATGAGCATCATAAATTTCATTTCTTAAAATGTCTTTAATAGTACGTCCTATAATAAATTTGTGTTTCAATACTGACTTATAATGATATAAATTATTAATATAACGAGAAAGAAATATAAGATGAGACGGTGTAACATCCTGATTTAAACAATCTTTTAGAAATTTAATTCGCAAGTTTAATCTAATCAGGCTCTTGTTTAATTTAATCCAATTCTTCAAATGTTTGACCGCGCCCCAATTAAAACTATGTCCAACAAATTGGAAGAAATTCCTCAACGGACGCATTATTCCAGCCAGCGTAAATTCAATATAAAAAAAAACTGTTAATCTCGGCTCAAATTATTGTGTTACAATAAAAATAAAATCTCGACGGCAATCGGAGCCTGTGCGGATGACATGCACAAAATTAATAAATTAAAATGAGATCTCAAGTCAAACTCATTTATTAGAATCTAAACGTTTCGACCCACTTCGGGTCTTCTTCAGTAGCTGCAAAATACAAAGAAACAAAAATAAAAGATAATCGGTACAATCAGAAAATTATAAAACTCGTATACATACAATCCGCAAATAAATTAAATATCATTCTCCTCCCTATTCGAACCGTCCGGTCGTCGGAGTGTCTCCCTAACGGTGACCATCGTCAGGAAGGAAGCAGAGCAGTGACTCCCTTACCAACACTAATCAACATAGTATAAATTAAACGTGTAAGATCCCCAAGAATTATAAATTAAAAACCGGGAAGAACACTCACCCCGACAGCAAAAACAGAGAGAAGACGATGTTACACGTGACACATCACTCTAACGACTGTGCGGTATTCTACCTCGACACAGTCGATACATATATACGCAAAAAAAAAACACAAAAATAGAATATGAAAATAAAAATAAAAACAACTAATACTTATCGGCACTCATGTCAAAGGTCTAACGAAAAAATCCGGTTATGTCTAATCACAAAGCTAGATTTTGGTAAATTTTTCAATTAGCAGATCAAAATTCTCGTTTAATTTGTCGGTATCGCTATGTAAATTTAAACTATTCTTCTGACGCTTAATGTGGATCATTTCGGATATCAAACGTTTACCTAAAAAAGGCTCCTCATCCAAGATTTTTACATCCTCCCAATTAAATTCATGGTTCAATAATCTATGTTCCGATATGACTGATAATTGTGACGCGTTTCTTTTTATGTTGCTGCGATGTTCTTTCATCCTAGTTCTCAACAATCTACCCGTCTGCCCTACATACGACGCATCACAATCCATACAATCAATCTTATAAACTACATTGTTATGGAGTTCCCTTGGTAACTTATCCTTGTGTACTTTGATGAATTTACGGAGACTGTTAATTGCTGTATAGGATGGAATGACATCCAAATCACGTGTAATGTCCTCGATTCTCTTTGATACATTATTGATATACGGAATATTAAAGTACGAAACTTTATTCTGCGTTGGAATCTTGTCATTGCATATATTTGTTCTATTGTTATGCAACTTATGTATTGTACCGGAAGAACAACTTTTTAACCGCGCTTGTAATGTTTGAAATATCAATTTGAGAGGATAATTATTAGACAAAAGAACTCCAGAAGAATTACATTTCTTCAACAACATATAAATCCCTGAACTGCACGGACGGGTTTTACCGAGAGCGTATGGTCTGCCGAAGGTGCATAAACCGAATTGCCCTTTACGTGTAATATCAACAACATCTAAAAAAGCAAATTAAACATGAACAAAGATTAAATGTAAACAAAGATCTTATTATATAAATAAAAAATGAGAGACAGTACATTTCTCTTCATCGTATACATATTTATTGTAATTTATTGATTCTTTGTAAATTTACAAGTATATTATTAACTTAAAATTAATATAAATAATAAATAAATAATTTTCAACCTTTTTAGTTGTTATTGCGAGGTCGCGAAAGCAATTTGTTTGCATCCTGTACACTGATATATGATAAAAAAGACAATTCGGGAAATTCTCGTTTTTTATGTGAAAGCATTGTGCATTTTTTAAACTACTTGTGACGCTGTAAACAGTTAAAATATTATTTTAATCCTTATAAAAATATTTATAATAAAAATTATATATGTATGCGTATAAGAAGAAAAGAAAGATTACCGAAAAATGATGATAATGTCGAATCTAATGTATCTATACTTACAATTTCGGTCTCCAAAATATACAATAGCGAGGCCAAATAAGTATTATATCGCAACGTAGACCAAGTCTTCTAGCCACGCTATGAAATATTGCAAATATAATGATAGCTTGACCATGTTTACTTTGTAAAATCTGTGCCAGGTGCAATACAGAATAAATTAATTTAAGCGAGAGTATATTAAGAACAATATATAACATATACATATATATAGCCCATAATTATATATGTATTATAATCTATAACTTACATAATTTATACACAAACATTTGATGTCTACATTACGTGAGTAGCTACATGGTCGAAAGTTCATGGTACCAAATATATATTTCTTAAGTGTATCCATAATCTGCGTACTTTCTGTTTCGTTCCAATGATTATCTTCGATATTGTTGCTTTTCCAATAGGAAAAAGTTTCTTCTGACGTGGAGAATATCGAATGGTTCGAATGCTTCACTCTGAGACAAGTCAGTACCTCTTGTGCGATTGTATCCAATGATGCACTTACATTCGTGTAACATACATCTTCTCGAATTTGAATATATTTTGCCACAAAAGTACAAATTTCTTCCAAAAGCTGTTCTTTTTCAGGTTTCTCTCTATATCTGTCCAACTCATTTCCTATCGAGGATAGCTTTTCATAGTGAGACATTTCTATATTGCAATATCTTTCGATTGATTTGCGATCAATTCCTCTAAAAAATTTATATATATCGAATTATTAACTAATGAATAAATACATTAATTTGTAATAATAGTAGCATTATAATATATATGAAGATCCTACTGGAGAAATGGCGTAAACAAGCATTTAATCTCCTCAATATAAAACATATATTTCAGCTCATCTATAAGCTTATCTGTAGGCTCAAGAAAAAGTATATTTTTATGCAAACGCTTTACATATACATTGATGTTACCCGAGAATTTTATTACATTATCGAATTTCAATATATTATTGATTGAGCCATTGAAATAATTTTTGTTTGATCTATTATTGTAAAAATAATGGTAAAAAAGAATTTGAGACAAATAATTTTGCAATTGTATCGCAGAATTTATGCCTTTTGTGACAAAGTTTGTTTCCTCCACCCTTTGTTGTATTTAGATTTTCATATCTTCTCTTTGTAATAGGCCATCTAAAACACGACCATAAAATACTGTAATAAATTTTTGATAATGATACAATGTTGTGTTAAGATTAATTTTAAATAAACTAGATAATAAATTAGAAAATAAATAAAAAAAAAATAATAAAAAAATTAGAAAATAAAAATAAAAAATAAAAAACAATTAGAAATAAATAAAAAAATAAAAAACAAAACAAAAATTAAAAATAATAAAAAAACAAAAAAATTATAAGTATAAAAAATAAGCTTGTAAAAGTTGGAAATAATCACACATAAATAAAGTCTGTTGTTTATTATATAATTTTTCTTATTTAAATTTATTGTTATCATACATATTTAGCGCTATATAATTTACAAAAATTTCAGATTTTTGAATTCAAAAAATTTTTTTAATTATAATTATTATTATTAATTCTACAATTTACAAGAGCAGTCGGGAGACGCCGCGCGTCTAAAAACTGTAACGTCCGTTGAGTATCGATATTTGTGTTTGTGTCTATTTATTACATAAAACGTGCGCGTGCGTATATGTCTCAAATTTAGCGCGGCGTCTCCCGACTGCTCTTGTAAATTGTAGAATTAATAATAATAATTATAATTAAAAAATTTTTTGAATTCAAAAATCTGAAATTTTTGTAAATTATATAGCGCTAAATATGTATGATAACAATAAATTTAAATAAGAAAAATTATATAATAAACAACAGACTTTATTTATGTGTGATTATTTCCAACTTTTACAAGCTTATTTTTTATACTTATAATTTTTTTGTTTTTTTATTATTTTTAATTTTTGTTTTGTTTTTTATTTTTTTATTTATTTCTAATTGTTTTTTATTTTTTATTTTCTAATTTTTTTATTATTTTTTTTTATTTATTTTCTAATTTAAACATTATTTTCTAATTTAAACATTAAAACTTTGTTGGCAGCAGTCGGGAGTTTTTTTTTTGTAAAAAATTTTATTATTATTTTCTAATTTTTTTATTTTCTAATTTATTTTTTATTTTCTAATTTTTTTTTTTTCTAATTTATTTTTATTATTTATTTTCTAATTGTTTTTTATTTTTTATTTTTTTTTTGTTTTTTATTTTTTATTTTTTATTTTCTAATTTTTTTATTATTTTTTTTTTTTATTTATTTTCTAATTTATTGCTGTTCTTATGCTGTTTCTTCATTCTTTTGTCTCTCTGCTTCTTCATCCTACACATGTAAAAGTTTTTATTATGTAATATATATATTACAATGTATATAATATAATAATAATAATAATAAAGACACACATACACTCACCATGTGACTGCAATGTTCTATATTCTTTCCAAATATTTTTCTGCTACAATTTTTTAATTAATATAATATAATATAAATAGAGAGATAAATAAAAAAAAATAGCTAGATAGATAGATTGATAGATAGAGAGAGACAGATGACAAAGACAGATGACAACAATATCTTATATCAAATACATAAACTTGTACGCAGTTATAATTATGGCTTTGACAAATATATTAACTTTCTTATGGCTATATAAGTTTATACATTATGTAATCACAAGTAAGTTTATATATTTGTATAGCCTTAATTATTATTACATATGTGAATAATCTTTTGTAGTAGATAATTGGCTATGTAAGTTAATATATTTGTCTGCATTGCCATAATTATTGGTGCGCTAATATCTTTGTATAACTATAAATATATTTGTATACATATTTTTAATTAATTATATAATTATTATATAATATACAAATAAGAGAAAAAATAACTATATACATTTATACAATTATATATGTGGATATTTATAGCAATGTGGCTACGTAGCAAATTTAATAGCAAATAAGTGGCTACGCAGACAAATATAAATTCATATAGCCATGTTATGACTACAACAGATTAATTATATTATTAATTATATTATATATTTTTATTAATTATTAATAACAAGACTTACTCGTTTTCTATTATTAATAATGTTTTCTTCTTCAGATATCTTCAAGCGAGTATCTTCTTCCTACATATAAATAAAGAAACAATAAATAAATAATAATAACAATATTCTAAATAAAGAAAAAAACAATAAATATAAAAGAAGAAACTTACTCCTTTATTTATATCTTCTTGAGATATATCCATAATAATACACTTCACTTAATATTGTTGTTGACAATAACACGCAACAGGTGACAGCTAACCTATCCTATCAGTCCCGTCATTATTACTTCGAGATGTATATACCAATGTCACCAACATTCCCTATCCGGATACTACAACGAATCTCATTGGTGAATCATTTTTCCTCTTAGGTTCACACAGCAGCCAATGAGAGACCGTATTGACGAAATAATACTCATTTTTCACTTTTTATTAATAGAATAAATAACGATAATAATACGCTTTAAACCTTCCTTGATTAATAAGAAACTTATGTTCCAAAGTTGATATAAAACTATGCAGTAGTTATCGAGAATTAAGGTCACGACCGATCCGGGCTCGATGAAACGCATACTTCCTCTCTTTTCGCCAACCTACGGTTGGCAGCAGTCGGGAGAAAAACGAGATAAAAATATGTAAATTTGTTTTAGATTAGATGAAGATAATTTTGTTTTAAGTATGTTTGAAAGTATATCTAATGAAAAATAAAATTATATGAAGATTTATGTAAATAAATTTTTAGATAATAATTTTTAATACTGCTTATGTAAACACAGTTATACAAAAAATATAAATTATAAAAGGGATACAACAAGATATGTATTCATATTTTTATTAAAAATTTTTATCGTTTTACTGTCTATTTTAAGTATTTTTATGTGCTATGATTCTAAACCAAAATTATTTGAATATTATTTTAGATAAATAATATAGTAAAGGTAGTAATTTATAAAAGGTAGTAAATTATATTTACAAATTTTGACTCTAATATGTATATTGCGTAATTCTATATGTGTATTCTACATGCTATTAATAAACATTAATGTTCGTGTGTGTATATTTAAAAATTTTTTTAAATAATTTTTAGAACAATTTTTCCGAAAACATATTTACATTCAATGTTGACTGTGTTTATAAATGTTACTTGGCATGCTTTTACTTTTATGAAAATTTTATTATGATTTCAGTGTTATTTATTAAAACAACCGATAAAAAATATCAATCCTGTTTGTTTTAATGACGAATATATATCAAAAATATAATCTTTATTTTTAAATACAATTAAATATATTGAAGAATACACATTAAAATAAATAAGCAAAGTTAATTTTACGTTACATTTTTAGTAATTGAAAATCTAAAAGAAAATATTTAATGACTAAATCTTTGTCGATTGATACAGGCCAATTAATATTTATCTAATTAATCACACAACGTTTTATAGAATATCTGTCGTTCTCAAGTGTACTGTCAAGTGTGCGATGGACCAAAATTATGGTCGAAATACCGTGGTCGAAACAATGTGTGATTAATTAGACAAACATCAATTGGCAAGTATCGGTCGAAAAATATTTGGTCTTTTAATTTTGACAGTTGAAAATTATGAATTCTTATCAGTATATTTAACGTTTACATACTATATATATATATATATATATATGTATATGTATATTATATATGTATATATATAACGGTAGAGTTTGCCAAAATTATTGAGCAATAGAAAAAAATGAAAGCGAATAATTTACTATGCAACATAAATGCAACATACCTAATATTTTTAATATTTTTTATTTATTATATATTTAAAATATACGTTCTTCGCAGAAGTGATATACATTGTGCGACAGGCGTTAATGAGACAAAATAACAAAAAGATTTACAAACCACAAGAATTACCTTTGAGATAACTTTTTTTCCAAGAACTTGTCATATGTGGCTGCATAACGAAATTGCTTGCACACGCATCGAAAGTTGATGATATCTTCAATAGTGAGTACATTATCGTCGAGAATGTGGCTTATCATCTCGTCTGGTAAGTACGTTATCTTATAATCAGACATTATGAGAAACAAAAAACAAAAAAGGAATGTAAATTAAAGTGATTGCAATAAACTATTCGCGTAATTCCTTGCTTTTTGCAGTACAAGAAATGCGTCTGCCGATTACGAAGAGCACAGATGTGTGTTTGATGTACACGAGAGACGTTTTCCACACTGTAGACGTTCTGTTCTTTATTATAAAATTTAACCTTAAATTTTAAAGCATTATTGCTTGTTTTCACTAAGATATAGGTATAAGGACTT